TATAGACTATATATATGACTTGTAAGATGTATAACATTTTTTGTACCCTGCTAAAACAAATTTCTAGCTCCGCCTATGCCGCGGCCCACGGTGTGTTTCTCTGGCCTAAACAATCTTGTCAACTGGTTGGTGTAGAAACTAGAATTTCTCAAGCTATTGTGTGTTTACATCCAACACATTATGACATCATTTGTTCTCAAACTTTTCAGGCAAATGAAGCAAAGATTTGGCGGTCATGATCAGTCCCTTAAAACCCCATCAAAGTTGGTCGTCCTCTTTCCCTCACTACCACAAACAATGACGCTGACAATTTATGTAAATGATTGCTTAAAGATAGAACTCAATATTACATGTATTGTAACACAAATATAGTTTCTTTGGTTGCTTCGATGTAGTCTTCAAAACCAAATGTTAATAGCTTTTGTTACAATTAAAATCTTGTGCGTGCAATAACAAGGCCATTTTGACACGCGATTGTAGAAAAACTACAACCCGAAAACATAAGGGACAAGGTAACGACGAGAAGCCATCAAACAAACACACAAACTTCATACCCAAAGAAGATATACTTAATTTCACTTCAGACAAAGCCAGACCGAGAAAAAATAAATGACAAACGTGATTGAAGAAGAGACTAGAGAGCTTAGGAGGATATTTATTATAAATATGATTTGAAGCTTAAGAAGAATTTATCCATTATAATTTCCTTACCACTATTACAAAGCCTTCTCATAGGAAGAGATAAATCAATTGTTTCTTACTGAGAAATATCAGGTACCCTAAAATTGTAAGAGATGAATAACAATCATGTTCATAAAAAGCTTAAAATCGTAGAATCCATAGAGTGTGATTTTGAGAAGCGCACAACTACACAATTTATTTGTCAACTAAGATGTTTTAAGATGCATCACCGGCGTTAGGTCAAGACCAGCCTTTTATGTCACCAAAGAGAATGTGAAAACAAAATATATACTAAGAGGTGAACGAGTGCATCGGAGAATATGAAAAAAAAATGAATACAAAAAATTGTTTAAGGAAATTTTACTAAAGCCCACAAATATATTATATATACACAATGTTAAAGTAAAATATTTTTGATCTCATTCACTATAAGAATGAGTCAATGATTAACATCAAAGTCTCTCGAAAAATGTTTTTATGGGATTGTAATAGGAAAGTACTCTCTCATGAATAAAAGATAGTGGGATGGTTGTCAATACAAGTTTCTACTTCTATTAGGTTTTCAACTATTTTTTTACAATCACATGCCACCTAGCTATTCGTTGGTTTAAAAAAACAAATTTATCATAAAAAATATTTGTGTTCTATATCGCTTGCTTAAATAAATTTGTATTTATATAAATATTCATTTTGATTTCTTGGATTTTTTTTAAATGAGATGGTTATGTTATATTCAAATATTCATTTTGTTAAAAATTTAAAACTAAAATCTCGCGCAGCGCGCAAGTTATAAATCTAGTATATTTCAATTAGAAAGCTAGTATCTACCTATTTTTAATATAAATATTTTTGCCAAATGTACCTAAAAAATCTAAAAATGTAAATATACATTTTAAATCTACCATATATATAAGTAATATACGGATCGGAGCAAATTTTCAGATTTTTTAAATTAGTATTTGTGATTTGCTTCGTTCTATACGGATACTAAATTTTACTTGTTTCGATTTGATTCATAGCAGATATTCGATTTTTTTAGTTCGGATCAAAGCGAATACCATATCAAAGTAAATCTAATAGATAGTTTTTCCAGCCCTTATTATGATGAACAATTTTACATATTGCACTACCCGGTGTACAATACTCAAATTGTGTTGTGCCATTCCAAAAAAAAAAAAAACCAAGAATATATTTCAACATCTCCAGCCGATTTGGTGACGGATTACTATGGGTCAATTTTTCGGCCCATTTTCAGTTACCGATATTAGGCCCGAACTGGATTTTAGCGGATTGAGAAACAAATTCTCTCAGTGATCGTCTCCTCCACACCAATTTCACCATTTTACCAGTAAACAAAAAACTCCATTAGCTTTTCGTTATCGTGCCCTCTGGGCAAAGTAATGTTCTCAAGCGGTAACGTCACCGCTAGGGTTTTCGAGCGTCAGATTCGTCGTCCTCCTCCTGGCGCTTCTGTGAATCGAGCTCGACATTTCTACGAAAACCTTGTCCCTAGCTTCACTCTCTACGATGTTGAATCTCCCGATCACTGTTTCCGCAAATTCACCGAAGATGGTCTCTTCCTCGTCAGTTTCAGTCGTAATCACCAAGAGCTCATCGTATACCGTCCTTCTTGGCTCTCTTTTTCTTCCGATTCCGACGATTCCGTTCCTCCTCCTCTTCCTCGCCGTGCTTCCAGGTTCGATAGCTTCTTCACTCAGCTTTACTCCGTTAACCTCGCATCGGCGAATGAGCTCATATGTAAAGACTTCTTCCTCTACTTCCATACTCATCGATTTGGTCTCTTCGCTACTTCCACCGCTCAGATCCATGACTCACCTCCTTCTCCCGACGCTGTCCCCGGTGTTCCTTCGATCGATAAAATCACTTTCATACTTCTCCGATTAGACGATGGTGTGATACTTGACGAGAGGGTTTTTCTACATGATTTCGTCAATTTGGCTAATAACATGGGGGTTTTTCTATATGATGATCTTCTCGCGATTCTATCGTTGCGTTACCAGAGGATTCATCTTCTACAGATTAGGGATTCGGGTCATCTCGTCGATGCTCGTGCAATTGGGTACTTTTGTCGTGAAGACGATGAGCTTTTCCTCAATTCTAATTCACAGGCAAGCGAGTTACAGTGTATCTTCTCTTTCTCTGTAAACTGGAGTACACAAATCACTGAGTTTTCTAAGGTTTTTTTTTTATGTAGGCAATGATGATGACTCAAGATAAGAACAAACTCCAAAGTTTATCTGGGAATAGAGAAGATGATATGGATAATGGGTTGCATTATAGCCAACCAAATGCTGAGAATTCGTTTCTTAGTGGTATCAAGCAACGGCTACTCTCCTTCATCTTTAGAGAGATTTGGAATGAAGAATCGGATAATACTCTGGTTTGTTGTTCTTCAACTTCTATATTCCTTTATGCAATTGTTCTGATTATTCACAATCTTACACCTTCAGTGCATTATGTTCGTGTCGGATCATCTGTTACTACTTCCTCTTTTCATTGATTGTATCACTCCTTTACTCTTAGATGTTGAGTAGGAAAAATTACTGTACTTGATAGATTACATAACAGGATAATGGATTTTAAGGTTTTGGGATTGATGCAGTTGACAGTGACACTTACCTGATGTAGCTAATCTTACAAGCTCTTTAAATTTTCTATAATTTATTCATTTATTGAACTAATCGAAAGACATATTTCAATTTGCCAGAGGGTGCAAAGTCTGAAGAAGAAGTTCTATTTCCATTTCCAGGATTATGTCGACTTGATTATTTGGAAGGTAATCGATCATGTGTTTGTGCTTGTGGAATCCGTGTCAAGTGTTTTGCATTTGATGAAGAAAACCCTAACCTTGCTTATTCTTGATGCCCAGGTTCAGTTTTTGGATCGACAACACCTGCTAATCAAACTTGGCAGTGTAGATGGTGGGGTAAGCTCTCTATAATATGCATTCTAGGTTACATGAACTGATCTTGTAATTTTTAGAATTTACAACTTGATTGATTAGATTTATGATGTTGGTGGATAATTCAGGTATCAAGAATCGCTGATCATCATCCAGCTTTCTTCGCGGTGTATAATATGGAAACAACTGACATTGTAGCATTCTATCAGGTAAATGGATGTGATTTTGTGGGAAGATATCATTTACTTACAGCTTGACTTAATACATTGATTTATGCAGAACTCAGCAGAAGATCTTTATCAATTATTTGAGCAATACAGTGATCACTTTACCGTATCAAGTAGTTCACCATTCATGAACTTTGTAACATCGCATTCTAACAGTGTTCATGCTCTGGAACAACTAAAGTACATGAAGAATAAAGCAAACAGTTTTTCTCAGGTTGGTACATCTGTGTATGATCTCAGTTTGTAAATAGATCTCAGTGTGTATGACAAGAGAATTGAATCTAATCAATTTTCCTCACAGTTTGTGAAGAAGATGTTGCTCTCTTTACCTTTCAGTTGCCAGTCACAGAGCCCCTCTCCATATTTCGACCAGTCTCTATTCCGGTTCGATGAAAAGGTAACCATTGAAAAACTTCATTCTCTTCTATTTCACGATTGAATTTAGTTGGTTAACATAATCTCGGATATGGTTACAGTTAATTTCCGCAGCAGATAGGCATAGGCAATCGTCAGACAATCCAATCAAGTTTATATCTCGAAGGCAACCACAAACGTTAAAATTCAAGATAAAACCAGGTTGGTTTTTTGTTGCTCAGATATCGAGATACCGAAGGAACAAAAAAACATGATTCCTTAAGCTTGTGATTTGTGTATGGAATGGAACAGGGCCAGAGTGTGGTAGTGCAGATGGTCGGAGCAAGAAGATATGTTCATTCCTCTTCCATCCTCATTTACCACTTGCCATCTCTATTCAACAAACACTTTTCATGCCACCTTCTGTCGTCAATATCCATTTTCGGCGATGATGATCCCTTATGGTTTCTATATGTTGTAATCTATTGTTCGTAAAATAAAATAATCTCAAAACACATGTGAAAATGTAGTCGAATATGTGTTAATGATCCGGTTAAAATCGATAGTATTCTATTTTTGTATATCAAAATCAATCAAATAAAAAATTTGATAACATCCATACTGTTTTCCAGGAATACTAATCCTCAACCATCTTACTTAGGAGTGAGAAAATATATACATATGCATTATTTATGTGTGCTTATTAGACTTCATTACATAACCTGCTATTATTAGACCTCAACATCTATCAGTGTCACTTAGTCTACAAACATCAATGTACCCAGTAGGCCAGGACCATAAATGTTGTGTAATCTCTACGGACTCAAGATGACAGAAGGGAACCTGTCTGCCTCACCCGAGTGTCCTGCTTCAGTTTCCTCACTTGAGAACTGACTATTCAGAGAAACTTTTGACTGAATCTGGTAAGTTTCAGAGCTAAAACTTGTGCTGCATCCAGAGTTTTCAGTCAAAGACTGATCAGAAGCTTGGACTCCAGAAAGTAGGAACCTTTGGTGGGAATTGCAAGTGTGGATGGCTCCATCACATTCATTGCATAGCATTGCTCTGTCCTCTAAGCAGAAGAAGTATCCTTTTCTCTCCTGCATACATACATAAATATATGCTTTTGAGCCATCGGTTAAAGAACTCAGTGAATTGTTACAAGCGAAAAAGGAATCAAACCTGGCAGATATCACAGAGAGGAGATGTGGCTAGAGCATTTTTTTGTATATTGACTCGGTGATGCCTTTGGAAAAGCTTGTTAGCTTCATGGACCTTAACATCACATGGCTTGCAAAGAACAGCTTCATCTGAACAGCAAAGTACTTCTGCTTCTGCCTTTTCGCACACTTCGCATTGTATCTTCATCTATCAAATTTTCCTATACAAAGACAGAGCAAATATTCCTTTAGAAACTAATGAGAAGTAGGACAAGGAGTGAATCTAAGACAGGGTAAGAAGAAAGAACAAACTTAAATAGATTCACATGATGGGGTTAGACCAACTTTGAGTGGCATTTAAAATCAAATAAATGTTCTCCTACCAAAATCTCCATGACATGATTCTTCAGAAAGCTTTTGTCCTTTTAAAAACATAAATTGACAGACACAGCAACAAGCTTCTCTTAATACACAAGCATGGCAATCCAAAAGTAATGAGAGGACCACAATATGCAAAAGTAAAGACTCTGGAAAAAATAAAGTAAATAGAGATCAATAAAAAACCCTAAGAATGTCAGAAGCTGAAATAGAGCATGGCACATTCACACTCTCCCCCATCCCTTTCCCATGCAGCAACCAAAGCACTAAGACTCATCAAGAACATTTCAAAACAGATTTTGGTCCCAAATATAATCATGGGCCAATGAAATGTAGGCCTGCATAGAAACTAGTATCATGGGCCAGTCCAGTCCAATCCAAATTTGTTTTGGCTTTAAATGAAGTCTCTAGAACATGAGAGAAGACACAACAACCTATCCAACGTGTAATAACATCATTAGTCACAAGTCCATACCCAAAAAGCTAGAACAATCTCTACCGAAAGATCTTTCAAGAAGCTGCTTCATTCTTCATAAGATGTGTGTATATATATAACACACACCAGAGATTTGGAAATTATACCATCAAAGAGAACAAGCAAGCAAGTAACGAAAACTGAAGTTAAAAAGCTTCCACCTTCGAAAAGAAAGCCCACATCACTAACCAAAGATGAAACACTTGCCTTACTTCACCCTATTAACCATCTTCATAGGAGCATTGTTACTTGTAAACATCAAACCAAGTGAAGGGTCTTTGTCTTCTGCACTCGACACACCGACCAGCTTACTATCTGATCTCTGGCTCGACCGGTTTCCCGATCCATTCAAAATCTTGGAGAGAATCCCATTAGAACTCGAGAGGGACCAGAGCCTGGCTCTGTCTCCAGCGAGAGTGGACTGGAAAGAAACAGCACAAGGGCATGAGATAATGCTCGATGTTCCCGGTTTGAAGAAAGATGAAGTGAAGATAGAAGTGGAAGAGAATCGAGTTCTTCGAGTTAGTGGAGAGAGGAAAAGAGAAGAAGAGAAGAAAGGAGATCAGTGGCATAGAGTTGAGAGATCATATGGAAAATTCTGGAGACAGTTCAAGCTACCTGATAATGTAGATATGGAATCTGTCAAGGCCAAGCTTGAGAATGGTGTACTCACTATCAACCTCACAAAGATTTCTCCTGAAAAAGTTAAGGGTCCAAGAATTGTTAACATTGCAGCTGAAGAAGACCAAACTGCAAAAATCAGCTCTTCTGAATCCAAAGAACTCTGATTGAATAATCTATCTAGCTAATTATCTACTTTTGAATGTGAAGAGAGTTTATAAATCCAAGAATTGAGTTTTATATTGTGTGACCGAAAATGGTTTGTTGTGATGTTGTAACCTTCCTATAAAGATCTATGTAATAAAACTTTCTATATGCAATAAAAAAATTCGTATAGAAAGACTTGAAGGTCACCAAAGATAAAATTATCAAGAGATTAATTAATTTGTTTTGAAAATACGAAGACTTGAAATTTTGGCA